TGCGTTTTGTTCAGCCTTCCCCCGCCTTCATGGAGCTGTGGCGGGGGGGTTGGCCCGGCTGATCCGCCTGACCTGGGGGCTGGGTGTCCCCCAGCGAGCCCCTGGGGTGGAGAGAGCATCTTCTCCCTGGCCAACCCTCCGACGAGCTTGGCTGCTTGGCCGGCATCATCCCTGGGTCTCCCTGCCCGTGGATCCTGCCCCCAGGACCAAGCACCCCCCCACCTTGCACGCTGCTTCTGAAACACATGGTTGAAACCCACGGCCACGCTCCGTGGGGTGCCGGAGGCCCGGGCTGGCTGCTGAGGGCTCTGCAGAGCGGGCGCAGCGGGTGCAGGGACCGGCTTTGGGCTGATTTCCTTCCTCTCCAAGCCCGGCGTGGCCCCATGTCGGTGGTGGAGCTCACTTCGGTGAGCAGCGGCAGGCGCTGCCTTCCTGTTTTGAGCTCGGATGGGGAAGTCTGCCCGGCCTCTCTGCGCTGGCTGCTCTTGTCCGTGCCCCTGACGGAGGAGATTTCCCTGGTTTGGCCCCGCTGTTCGAAGCAGCTCCTGCTGCTCTGCCCCCTCTCCTCTTGCTGTTGCCCCCGGCTTGGCTCCGGGGCTGGCTCCGGGGCTGGCCCCGGCGGTGACGGGGAACACGGGGAATGTCCCACCTTTGGTCTCCTCAAAGAAGCCAAGTGCAGCTGCGGCAGGGGCAGGTCCCAGAGCAGAGCAAACTGCTCCTCCTGCCTGTTTATTAATCCTGCTTTGTCATTTTGTCACCTCAGGAGGCTCCAGCAGCAGCAGGAGGCAGAGAACAGGGACAGGGAGCAGCAGCAATGGGTGAGCTTCGGCGCCGTCCCTCGCGGCCAGGTTGCTGCGCGCGTCCCCCGGGATGGAGAAGACAGGGTGCCGTGGTGCGGGCACGGTGACGGAGGAGCACCCCGGGCGTTGTCACGGCGGGTGGGGGACAGGGAAGGACACACGGACACGTTCTGGCGGGAGAGGTGCCATGCGCTGGTCCTCCCAGACTCTCGCTCCATCCTCGATTTCGTTGGATGGGCTTCGATTCCGTCAGATCCCGCTTCATACCTGTATATCTATATCACGCTGGCCGCGTGCTCCTGGCAGCGGGTCCGACCGCAGCCTCTGGGGAAAACGGAGTTGAAAACTCTGAGTTTAAAAGATGCCGGAGAAAACCAAGTCCTCATCCTCAGCCCTGCCAACCTGTGGCTCCCTCCCGGATCCGGGGGGTTTCCTCCCCCTTCTCCCTC